GAAAGGCCATGTATTGCACATAGCACATTAAGAGGGGTTCTATTGCCAAACAGAGGACCCAAAAAGAAGTTCAAAACAGAGGAAATTTGAACTTGGCAGCAAAATGTAGACAATACATAGCCAAAAATCCCGATGTGTCCCTGTCCTCGTGTGAAATAAATTCTGATAAACTAGAAAACAAGCTCAGCTGAGTTATTCCCTGTTCCCACATTCAGGGGCAAATATAGCTGTAACAATAACTCATAACCCCCACGCCATTATTACTGTCTTCTACAAGCCAGTCACTACATGAATCATCAGAAACCAACAATTCCAACTTCATTAAAGTTCCCGACCTGGGTCATTAATTCCAGTCCCAGATATCACATGATCGTCCTCAAGCTAAGAACACATATTATCATGACACAGTAGACATGATGAGCTTGACCGACATCTAAATTAACGGCCAACTGATTGCAGGAGGAAGTGGGTGTTCAGTGGTGGTCGTGCTTTTGCCAACATAGTAACATTGCAATGCACCTCTTAATAATGTAGATTCTGAACTTGTGTTCCTTGGCATGGTAATGCACCTCTTAAGAATGTAGATTCTGGATTTGTGTTCCTTGGCAGCCATGAAGAGCCTTTTCTTCAAGCTTCAAGCCTCCTCCTCCTCCTCAGAACGACACGCTGACGTGGAACTTGAAGGTGACGCAGAGGAGGAGTGATTCGTGATGTTGCGTTTGGGTCCCATAGTTTTTGAGAGTGACAGAGCGACAGGGGAAGATGGAGTGTGTGAGAAAAGGAAGCAGCCTGGTTGGTGGAGATTGAGGAAGGAACACAGACGAGGGGCAGAAATTGCCTTTTTTTTTTTTTTTGGGGGGGGGGGCCGGGTGGGATATAGTCAAAGCATATAAAGGCATTGAGGCATGAGCTATTGCTGTAAAGTGGATCAAATTGCTTTTGCGTTTGTTGGACGGGCCCATAACATCATCATTCATAAGTACATCATTCAATTATAATTATAAGAACCAGTTAACTAATCAGAAAAGATTAAAAAAAAGTTAAATTATTTATTTTGTAATAAATAAGTATTATTTTTTCTAAAATATCCTTGCTAATCAAATGTATTAGCTAGAACTTCCCTTGTTAGAAGGCTACCTTGGGAAAAAAATACATAATATGAGAGACAAAATGAATTGAGGTCTTATATTTAAAACCAAAATAAAAATCAAATAAGACCTTATATTAAAGACAGGAGGTAGTATTTCGTGCTTAGATTGGCATTAATATTTTCATTAATGAATTAATTTTCGCAGATATAATCATGTTTAGTAAATGTTCTTGAAGATGACATATTATTGACGAGGTAATGACATGTTGCTAACAAGATAATAATTTGAAGACAATCAGATTTTAATCAAAGGGGACCGCCCATTGCAACTGATTCCTGAATGAAAAAACTATAAGATCTTGACTCGAATTGACTATAATTTCATGAACTAAAAACTTTTTTTTCCTGCAACCAAAAAAAAAAATGTTTTTCCTATATATTTTGGTATGAATAAGGAGTAATCTTCTCCGCATGCGGAGACTAATCTCATTTTGAACATTGAGAAAAAAAAAAACCTCTGGTCCTTAATATGAGATCTTGTTTGATTTTTATTTTGATCCTAAATATAAAATTCCAATCCACTTTGTCTCTCAAATTTATCTATTTTTTTTTCCAAGAAAGTTCTTCTAACAATGATAGCTTTAGCTAATACTACCTCCAGTCCTTAATATAAGACACTGTTTGACTTTTATTTTGATCCTAAATATAAGACCCCAATCCACTTTGTCTCTTATATTTATGTATTTTTTTCCAAACTAATCTTTCTAATAATTATAGTTTTAGCTAATATAGTTGATTAGTAAGGATATTTTAGAAAGACAACACATATTTATTACAAATAACTAACTTAACTTTTTTCTTAATCTGTTCAAATTAGTCAACTGAGTCTTATAATTAGGACTAGAGGTAGTACATTTGATTAGCAAGGACATTTTAAGAAAGATAACACCTATTTATTACAAATAACTAACTTAACTTTTTTCTTTAATCTCTTCAAATTAGTTAACTAGCTCTTATAATTATGACCGGAGATAATAGTAAAATCTTCGTGACCAAATTTACACCGATTGCATCTTTTAGTTGATGGGAAAAAGGAAGACCTTTTGTTGTGTTAGAATTAAGTAATAATTGTAGCAATATGGTATTTTAAATTTGATATTCCAAAATTTTTCCAATCCATTTGGGTTGGAAGTTGGATTTCCGCTTTTGGTGGGCCAAAATATTTAATAAGATCATGTACCTGATTAAATATAATATAAATTAAATAAATAATTTAATTTACATTATCCGAATGACATAAAAAACAGATATATATGATTTAATTCAAGCATGCTAAATTATAATAATATATGTAGATGAAATCAGCATTTTATTCCTTCATCCAATATGGCAGATATATTATAGGGATTTAATCACCTTTAACTTCAAATCATATATGCATAATGAGGCAGTGGAGAGATTATACCAGGGAGAATGACCAAAAGAAAACCAAAAATTATTAAATTTTAAATCAAATTTGATAATAATACTTTATTTGGTGTTTAACAATACTGAATTTACAAATAACAAGAAATTTTGGTTGACATTTCTTATTGGGAAAACCATACTGGAGGTACTTATACTTTTTTTCAATTTTCAATTTGGTACCTATGTGTTTTTTGTTCTTAACTAAATCTTTAATTTTACTCTATTAATATCATTAATCCTTATGTAGAGACTAAAAATATCAATAGAATAAAGTTATAAGAGCTAATGTTGCTAAAAAGATAAAATTAAATGTTTATTTAAAGAGAAAAAACACATAGGTACCAAATTAAAAATTGAGAGAAAATATAGGTACCTTCAATATGGTTTTTCCTCTCTTATTTGGTATTTACAAATTTTTTTTTTGTCATTTTCTCATCATAATAAGTAAACTAATAGATAGCGCGAAATATCGTGAAAAGATAAGGAAAAATGAAAATCGTAGCCCTTGTTCTCAAGTTGATTTCTTTCTGTTTTATATTTATCGAGAAGAAAATTAAATTAAAGCACAAAAGTAAAGAAAATTATATTTTTGAAGAAGAAAACCTACGTGGCAAAAAAGGGGGGGAAATCCTAGACATTTTTGAAGTGTGGCCTTGGAATCTAAAGTGAAATATGTTGCTCATAATTTATTATTGATACACCTTGTTGTAAATTTTTTTTTTTGCTAAAATATAGGTGTCTTCTTATTAGAAGTAATCTTATTTAAGATACTGTCAGATACTAAATATGGACACTTCTCTGAGCAAGAATTCGAATTTTGATTCGTTACGTTAAACTCAATCCTCATTGGTTGTTGAAAATATAGTTATTTTATATTAATGATGGATAAAGAAATCAGGCCCGACCAGAAGGGCTAATAATATGGACAGAACCAAATAGTGAAGCCCACTTGTTTCTTGCTTTATGAAGCCATGAAAAGACCAAAAACACAAATCACGGCCCAACTAGAGGGGCTAGATTTTTTTGATTTATTGTCCAAGAATTTTTCTTTGATCTTGTATCTTGTATAAATAATTCTGTTTAATAACTTTTCATATATCATCAAAATATATTATATTAAAATAGTATTGAATAATCTCAAAAATAAAAGAAATTAATTATAAGCATCTTTATTTTTGTTATGAACTTTTTTTTGCCAGCTATTTTTATTATGACCAACCCCATGTTTCCCACCTATTGTGAACATTCATACACTCATACAGCATGAAAAATAAATTTGTCAAGTGGAGGGAATCCTAAATACAAAAATTTAGCCCACTCATATATTAAACGGATTTACATTATTATTTTTAAAAAAATTAATACACATTTTTATAAATAATCTACTTAATTATTTTTTAAATATTTATAAATTAATTTTTTATGCACCAAAAAAGAATATGTATATATTAGTTATTTAGCTTTTATGTTTATGATAAGAAGGATCATACTACCTACGGTTCTAATTAAAAAAGCTAGTTGACTAATTTAAGAAGATTAAAGGAATAAGTTAAGCTAGTTGTTTGTAATAAATAGGCGTTGTCTTTTCTAAAATATCCTTGCTAATCAAGTGTGTTGGATAGAACTATCATTATTAGAAGGACTATCTTAGGAAAAAAATATATAAATATTAAAGACAAAATGGATTAGGATCTTATATTTAGGATCAAAATAAAAGTCAAACGAGATCTTATATTAAGGACTGGAGGTAGTATTACTATAAATGTCTATTTAGAGTCACCTTCAAAAACATTTATAAGCAAGTTTTACATAAGTCAAGATAAAATTTTGTTCATATACTTATCTCATACTACCTCCAGTCCTTAATATAAAAATCTGTTTGACTTTTATTTTGGTCCTAAATATAAGAGCTCAACCCATTTTATCTATCATATTTGTACATTTTTTCAAAGTAGCCTTTCTAATAATAAGAGTTCTAGTCAATATACTTGATTAGCAAGGATATTTTAGAAAAGACAACACCTATTTATGACAAATAACTAACTCAATTTATTTTCTTAATCTCCTCAAATTAGTCAACTGATTTTTATAATTAGGACCAGAGGTAGTATTTTATAATTTATGATTGAAAAGTGGTTCCAGATACTCATTAGATCGATTTTATCTTGAGAAACAAATTTTGTGTATTTAACATATTGTTTGTCACAAAATTAGAGAGAATGTAAAATGATACTCATACAACTTGTTTGAGAAAAATAGTAAAAGAAAATAAAAGAGAAATAAAGAAGAAAAGAAAGGCTAAAAGCGTTATCTTTTACTCCAACAACCAGGCACGCCAGCGAAGGTTTGTTTTCTTGCGAAAGAGGGAACCCAAATCCTTCAGAAAAGCATAAAATTATACTAAACAGTTTCCGTGTTCCCTTGAAACATCCAACAAAAGTGCCCCTCTTATAATCTAATCCTCTCTCACTATTTCCCATATACTCTCAGAAGTTCTATCCCTCTGATCCATTGTTTCACGATCTCTTCTTCCTTTTTTTCTCTGGTTTTTGAAAAATTCATCCTTTCGTGTCCGGTATGTTTATTGTTGCTGAAGTTTTCACGCGATGTTCTCTACTGTGCTTCTTCTTCTATACGATTCTTTTACGGTTTGATTTTTTCAAGTTTTGTTGGGATTGTGATGTACCATCGTGTTTGGAATTTGCAGAGATCAAACCCTTTGGGAATTTCATCATGGCGAAAAGTTCCTTCAAGCTTGATCATCCATTGGGTTAGTGCTGATTTTGCTCATTCTTTTTAATTTGGGTTGCGGAAGTTTAAAGCATTCATGTTGTTCCTGTAGAATTTACCTTTCTTTCCTTTTTTCCCCCAAAGAAAAGATTCTACTGATCGGAATTGTCGGAATCAATCCGTCCTAATTTCATATTTTAATTAAAGAAGTAATTTGGACTTAAATAATGTTACGGTCTTTGGAAGAAGAGGATATACTTTAAAAGTTGAACTGACTAGGTTGTGATTTCAATTGTGTTAAATTTCTCTGAATCCCATCACTACCCTTTTGTTTTGGGGATGAATATCAAGCAGGTGGTATTACGTTTGGTTGGAGTTATTTCTGTGATGACCTTGGGTCCAAGCTTAAAGGCTATATGTTTTGATGCAATATTTTACTTTTAAATATCTCTGTTTCGAGTATCAATGAATTAAACTTTCTCGTTTCTTTCATCTCAGAAAGAAGGCAGGCTGAAGCTTCTCGCATCAGAGAGAAGTATCCTGATAGAATACCTGTAAGATTATAGTCAGTATATATTATGTGCTCATTGGTTCCTTCCCCCCCCCCCCCCCGGGGCGAGGCACAATTGTTTGACCTGGGGATGCTGTGCAGGTGATTGTGGAGAAAGCTGAAAGAAGTGACATCCCTGACATTGATAAGAAGAAGTAAGAGCTTTTCTATTACTTGTACCATTCCGTTTCTCTAATTAGATTTTATATTTGAGAATATCTTCTTGCTTTCTTAGGACTACATTGTTTTACTTGTTGCTTTCCTCGGATATTTATATATTTCTGTTTTCTATTGTTTTATTGATTTGAATTGTGAAAATATCTGGAAGTTGATGCATCATTTAAGGGAGCACTCGCGAGGGGATCTCATGGGGATGTAGGTTCCTTGGTACTGGCTGATGTTGCTGGTTGTGGTGATATATGATGATAATGGACTCTGATTTTGTTTAAGAATTGTGTTGTTAGTGAAAAGTTTAGCATTAGTTTGAGATTGATGAGCAGGTTGATATCATGATGCCTGATGTCTGCGGATTTTGGCTAAAGTTGGATTTGGTTAGGACCCACTACTATAAATAGCTGATGGCAAGACTAAAACCAAAAATGGACAGCCAAGAATGATGGAAACTGGGTTTGATATTTCTATTATTAAATAACTAAATCATATTACAAGAGAAACAGCGGGATCAAGCTAAACTCCTGAGCCTTTTACTGTTTTACACCTAGATACACAAATTGCAATCAAAATAACAATTACAAATCAACAAGAAACAGAACAAAGGACTCACAACACAGTGATTCTGGACTTTCGACAGGTCAGAACTCACGGGTGATCTTATACCCAAAAAGTAGTCAGTTCCCCTACTAACACTGCCCAAGCCTCTAGGTACACATACCCTGACCTATCTATCACCATTTTAGCCTTGATGGTTATAAACCTCAGGATAAATCTCTAAACAACTGGTTTTAGTCCTCTCTATGCTACTTCCCTTCCTAGATTGTCGGCCATAAGTCTTAGGAAACGATTTCCAAATCTTTTGTCAATCACTGGCTCTATCGGAATGTCCTCAAGTTGAATCCACACCAGATGACAACATAAATGGAATGTTTTCTGCTTGTATGACTGAACTACTTTATCTTTTCATCAAATTTGTGTGTTCATCTTGCATAAAGTAAAGGGTTGGAATCAATGCAAAATCTGATTTCTGGTAATTTATTTTCTGAAGAGTGCATGTTGTATGCTGGTGAGGAATGGCTATTCTAATTTTTCTGATTCTGATACCTTTTGTAATTTTTGGACATCTAGCGATTGTATGTTCTCTCCCTGATTGAATAATGATTTAGGATGTAAATATTGATGATCTGACTCTATGAAAAATAAACTTACTACGTGCGTTGCCCCTTATTATTAGACTAATATGCGAAAAGTTAATTGAAGGTATTCAACGCCAGAGATGAATCCTACCAAATGGCTTAGGCTATTTTAAAGGGATATGTAAAATCTAACACATCTCTCTTGATGAATGTAGATACCTTGTACCAGCTGATTTGACAGTGGGTCAGTTTGTTTATGTGGTTCGTAAAAGGATTAAGCTCAGTGCAGAGAAGGCTATCTTTGTTTTCATCAGTAACACTCTACCTCCAACTGGTAAGTGGCCATGGCCGATTAATGCCTTCCTTTTCTTTTTTTTTTTGGGGCATTTATGGCCGTGTCTGTGAACTAAGTTTACTGCTTCTGATGGGGTTGCAGCTTCCTTAATGTCTGCTATTTATGAAGAAAATAAGGATGAGGATGGCTTCCTTTACATGACTTACAGTGGAGAAAACACCTTTGGATCTCAGTAGACACAAATCATATTTTGGTGTCTGGCCTCTGTAAATAACATCATGAAGTGTAAATTCTCTGCCGACGCCGTCGCCGTCGCCGATCAATGCATGACGTGTTTATTAGTTATGATTTAAGTAATTTTACTGCCCGAGACTTTGACCATGTCCGTTATCTTTTAACTTGAATTGAATCCAGTGAATTAATATAGTTTTATTTTATGATTTCGCAGATGAATTCTTTTTGCCTTTTTGAGTGTCGTCTGAAGGTTCTTTTATTTCAACAAAATACTTTCTTTACATTTATTTGTTATATTCATTCACAAAAAATTCCTTGAAAATAAGCAATAATTATGTAATTAACACGTGATTGTGCGTCATTAGCAACACTTGGCCCGTGCTTTCTTAAAGAAAATTTGTATTTTAGCTGAATGAAAGTAAGCCACTTATTAGATTGCTGTATTTATTCAAGAGCATTTCCGTATTCCAATAATATTCCTATTGCTGGTCAAAAAAAAAAAATATTCCTATTGATTAGAGGGAGATTTTACAATGCCTTCTCAAATTATAAGAAAACTATTAAAATTATAGGAATTAAAAAAAACGTCATTTAATATTTTGACTAGACATCTTACTCTTTCTTGTTGGCCAAGACTAGACAGACGCCTTGCGGGGAGGACATCCTCATGTTTATTTCTTTAATAAAACGATGAACTTTGTTTTTCTTTCACGAAAAGTAACATTGGGACACAACACCGGATGAAGTTAGTTGAATGACGGTCAAATGGGAGTTTGAATTGCCAAATTGTACATTGGAGACAAACAGATATTCTAGCAAATTCCTTCGTTCGTCCGCTCTTTATCATGTTTCTGAAGAGATCAAAGATTTTTCGATCAATCCTCTGCTGATATTTGCATAAAGACAGACAAATACACACACAAAAACACACAGACAACTATAATTATGTATAGATTTTTTTTCTTCTTCTATATGCATGTATAATTATCTCTTTCCAGTTGCCTTTAGATCCAGTATGCAGTTCTCGTTTTCGTGGTTCAATCAAGTGTAGTTGCAATTATGAAAAGGAGTTTATATTATAATGCTGTGTGGTCGTCAATAATGAAGTGTTATGCCACAAACCTTGTCCTTCTTATCCATAATGGTTTTTTCACCCGGAAGCAACGGTTTTTGCCCTTTCAATCATTCAAATCACCTTGTGACACACAGATTGAGGAATAAGAAAAAGGAAAAACGCAATCAAGTTATGTTTTTCCCCTTAAAGGTAAGTTGGATGGGGGAAAAAAATGAAATAATGGAAGGTTCAATATAGACTTATCTTCATGAGAATCTCATCTTTCTATTTATTATGTATTTTAATAATAGACACAATATCTTCAGTGATTCTTGAACAAGTTGGGTTTTGGCACAGAATTAGAAGCGCACATGATGGTGTTTCTAAAAGAATAGCATGATGATATAGAAATACTAATTACTTGGATGTACTTTTTCTCTTACACTGGTTTTTGATCCATTTGACACCGCCTTTAATCTTTTGTATTGGAGCAAAACCGCCCTTACCGTCTGAATTCTTGTTCTTCTTGTCTGTGTCTTTTTGGGATCCTGTGTCTTCTTCGTTCATTGCCCCTATGCCTCCAGCACCCCATTGATCTGCCCAACTTGGTGCTTCGCTCTCCATTTCTTTTGATGCTTCACATGTTTTGGGTTTTGACAGAAACAAATTGGGACCATCAGTTTCGCACAGATCTAACAATGGAAGATGAGATACTTGTAAATACTCAATACCTTTCTATGGGTTTAGGTGGAAACAGGATGAAGTTCTTTTATTATCAGTTTCATTCTTGAAGAGATCAGATCTCTCATTGAAGAATGATATTGTTATAGATATGCAAAACCCATCTCGTAAATCTTCAAAAAGATTTCAAATTTAAAGTTTAGGCAATGAAAGAAAGGACTTTAGCTTATACTGGTTTACTACATGGAGGGGTCTTTCAATGGACAGTGAAAAACTTGAAAATATTCAAAACCCATCTCAGTAAACTTCAGAAATATTTAAACTTGCGAATCAACTTGACAAAGAGTCTTCAAATTAACAAGTTTAGAGGTGACAGGTAGAACTTCAGATTATCAGAATGATACAGAGATAGATCTTTTCAACGGAAAATGGAAGTACTTATAATATTCAAATCCCATGTGGTAAAACCTGAAAAGATCACAAATTTACAAACATTGACCAAACCAAAAAGATTTGACAGAGGAACCAAAAAGAGTACCTTGGATTGAAGAAGAGTGGAGAAGAAGCTTGATGGAGCAATCAAGAGGAGAAAGAACAAAACAGAACAGAGGGCTGAATCAACTTGGAACCTAAATAGAGAGAGAGAGAGAGAGAGAGAGAGAGAGAGTTAGATGAGTTAGATGACCTGTTTCATTGCTTTTTTTTTTTGGCCACTATGTGTTGTGATATGCCAACTCACTTGATTTGGGCATTTCCTTGTGACTAAGCAAAGTCTGAGTATTGGAGGCATCAGGCATCTTGCATTATTAAAAAAGGTCTATTTCTCAACCTTATCTCATTAACATAGGCACAGATGCTTTGGCCAGCCTTCTGGGTTAACTGTCACACCACAATTTAGTGAAACTGGATTCCCTTCGGCCTTGGTATGCATCTGAACCACCTTTATAACTTATTCAGGTTAGATTCTCTAAGTTTCTTGTTTTTTCCAATGAAAAGCAATAAATATCAACTAGTGGTCGAAAAGTTCTAATCAACATGAACAATTCATAGTAGCTCTTGTTCATAAATAATACAATTCATTAATTAAACTTTTTGTGTAATGTTTACAAACCACCTATAGTTTCAGAGGAAAGTAATACTCATGTCATGCGCGATTTTCATTCAATGATGATATTTTCTCACATTCTAAACATAAAAATTAAAAATTAATTAAAAGATTACACCTTAATTCTAAATCTAAAGAGCATTGTCTAAAAAAAGGCCTAAAAGGGATGCATTAATATAAGTAAGTAAAATGCACTAATAATCAAGTATTAGCTTTTTTTTAAATTAGAAGGACAAATATCAATGATTTAATATTATAAACAGGATTAAATCCACAACCTTCCACTTAAAAGGAGCTTTTATATTATTAGGTTGCAAATCTACTATAAATTTGTTAAACAATAAGTATCATATATTCATCTCATTTTAGAATTACTTTTTTTAAAATAAATAAAATGAATATGTGAAATTCACACTAAATTAGTGACTTGACAAGACCTAAAGATTATGCAGAGATTTTTAAATGAATTATTTCCAATAATGTCGGCATTATGTCGGTCCATTTCTAATAATGGAGGGTCGCTTGGTAATAAAGTGAATAAGTGTGCTAAACACTTGCTATTGACCATGTCCTGCATTGTTCTCAATTATACTTTATTTATCACTCATCATTTGAAACTACAGCTATATAGCAAAACATGAATCCGCCAAAACGTGTTTTATTTATTTATTTAGTTCAATTTTCTATGCTAGAACAGATATTTATTTTCTTTGAAATGGTCATAGATATGTTGACAATATTATGTAAAATACAAAACTTTAAGAAACGTGGAGTATAAGATGCTTGTTGGTGAATAATGAAGAGTGCTTTAATGGATTGGGGAATTGAAGATGGGGTCCAAGATTGCATTGCAAAGCAAAAGAGAAGGCAGGAAAAAGGGATAAAGATTAGAGGGAGAATGACTTTAATGCTAAGGAAGAAGGGAAGGTTACGTTTATGTATGGAGAGACAGACACAAAAGTTCAAGGTCAAATGGCAGATTCATTCAAATGTTGTACCACAAGGTTACATTCACAGTAAAGCTCACACTTTGGGCGCTATTTCCAGTCAAATGAATCGCCTGCTTTCTCCTCCAAACACAATCACACTTACAATTACTGGCAATCTTGTTCCACCCCACACACAGTCTGGTCCCATAAGTTGAGTCAAATGCAAGACTTTTCTTCAAAAGAAATATGCCGATAAAATAAATTCAAATATACAAAACAATTTAGGATAAATTCCAATATTGTTGAGTTTAACTAAGTTGGTTATTTCAATATGATCATTTTATGCACAAGATTCAAACTTTTGATTTTAAGAGTTGTTTCCAACAATACGGCAATTTTGGGGCCATGTATATAGTTAAAGGGAAATCAAATACTCCATCAACCCAATGAATCTAGTCTTTTCAACATATAAATTTTATTAAGAATGTGTGTAAAATATTTACGTTACTATACTTTGGCATTAATTTAATCTTGACCCAAATTTTTATTTGCTTTTTTAAGCTTTAGACATAAATTTCTGTGTAAGGAATACTATGTACTTCTTAGTACCTCGTAATGCCTACCGCTCACTAGTCGATTTTTGGAAGGATGCTTTGACTTTTGAAGCTTTGAACAAGCTGCTAGATCCCTAAATTGATGATTCTGGTACTTTATGCTTGAAAATCATTCTTGTCTATTGATTGTGGTCCGCAAAGCCACAACATGACAGGGTACTCGTATCTCCATATTTGCTGGTTTCTGGTGCGTTCCTGATCCTTTCAATCACTCTTCATATACGGATGACGATATAGGAAAATTGTACTAAAATTTTGTGAGACGAGATCCCGGTTCATCGGCTCTAAAAGGGGCAAGTACTAATCATTCAGTATGCAAATTTATCATGGAAATTGAAGGATACTCTTGTTTTTAATTTAATTCAAGTACTACTTTTACAGCTAAACAATTCCCAATGCCTTTAGAGATGAATACTTATCTATCCGGAGCACATCTGTCAACAATTTTAATCACCAAATTGGAACAGAAAACAAAAATCGCCACACAAGAGTCGGATGTGCTTGGCCATAATCAAGGCGTGAACAATTGAAGCGTGCCATAAAGTTGCATGCATCAGGTAGGTTCCTTTCTCTTTCTGCAGCTCCAAATCCAGAAATGAACAATATGAATTCTACACGAGATACTTTCTGAACGAACTGTATGAACAATAAAATGTAAAGAACGGATGAATACACTAACTCATTTGCTGCGAAATCTCTCTCCTATGAACATCATTCTTCTACCATTCAGATGATTGAAAAAAAAAATTAGATGGGATATATCTACATTGTTCTGGGGGCAACAATTGTGAAAATCACGTACCCACAAAAAAAATATACCATCCGTCTCTCTTGACCGCTTCTTTTCCAAGTCAGATTCCCTTTTGTTATGATTCAACCTCTACTTGGTCTTCCTCACAGATTTAGATTTCTTCATTTTCCGTGATTTGTCATCCGCGCTGGACCATGTATATCCAGCAGGAATGGCAAAGGGGTCCGAGTCCGACGCCACCGAAGTGCTTCTTTGCTGCTGTTTACTCTGGCTATTATTTCGTCTCAGCCATGTGGATGCCACAGATGAGGAGGAGGAAGAAGTTGAAGATGATGATGTGAAGGAATAGTTCCTGGAGGTTTCTGGTTTATGATGTTCATCTCTCCCAGCATTGAGCAAATGTCTGGGACTTGAGAAAGGAGTGTAAAATTGCTCCACAGGTTGAAGCTCAACGAACTTGGTGAATGTAATTACAACTCTCACTGTAGGGACCACGGGGATGGCCAGCTGCCACACCAAAACAAATCAAAAAAAGCAGCCATCAAAACCTAATCAATAAATAATCCACCTTTTGCAAGACCAACATTCATAAATTCAATCAATTCAATTGTCTATTTGCATGTGAGAGTATTAATATCTGTAACTGTTTGTGGGAATGCGAGGCAATCAATAATCAGCTACCCGACATGGCCGTGGGCATGGTTCATAACCAGAACCATTGGACCTACCTCCTCGTGGTGGTAGTGCCAGGTCAACTTTAGGTGGGACCAGTGACATTATCCAAGGAACAAGGCACCTCGGATGGTTTGGGCCCCACGACCAATGAGTACCTTTGATCCAGATCTTGTTGATCAGAGAGGACCGTGTCATTGTCACATCACACTCGACCAAAGCCTCTCCAGAAATCAGAGGGCTTTTCAGTCTCTTTGTCACGGTGCGCAAGCCTAAAAAGTAAAAAAGAACACCACCACCCTCCCCAAAAATCCAGATGAAATAAAGAGAATGTAAGGTGAAAAACACAACTAATAATAAGAACATTAGCCTAAGAATAGCTTTAAAAAACATTTTTTTTGGGGGGATAGTTATAACTTGGGAGAAATTCTTGGAAAAAGATCTGATTGCAATAAATTTTTCCACTTGACGGAAACAAATGAGTAGATATTGCCAAGTAAAACGCCTTTCCTTCAATTTTTAACTTCAAGATGCAAAACTTGAACTGCATTTCAGTTTCCTCCGAAAACTTAATTTCAATCCGTAATTAAGACCCGGCGTACAAAAACGTTTTACTTCCCCTCCTACTGTGCTGCCGTGCGAGTTCTTTTCAATTTTCACTATCATCCACCACTGCATAAAGCTCAGAGGCCCCCAATCTACATAGCTCCCTTACATTTATCCTATTCCATGGACTCAAATCATCCCTTTTAAGACTATTCTCTTCTTAAAAGTTGCGATGCAAACCCTAATTGGTAACCCGTGACAGTAAAGCACGCCCGCACAGTTAGCTCCTTGCCCATCGAAGAGACTAATGGGCTCTACTCCCACAATTTTAATTTAAAATGATGATAGAAAATATAAAAATAATAGTAATTAAAAAAAATAGTACGAAATAAAAAAATTTCAATCATGATGCATTTTTATCATACGCCATTACAGTGGCCTTACCTTCACCGGAAATGTCCCTGGCGGAAACTTGGTGGTGAGCAGCTCTCTCATCCTTCTCACCGCTTTGACCTTGTTGGCTAAAATGTCGAGTAACGGCAAGAGCTCCTCAGTCTTCAACGGAAACTGATCCGTTAGCCACACTGACGGCCGTAAACTTCTCACATACTCCTTTTCCTTAGTTTGTGGTGTCGCCACTGTAACGTTTGCGGCAGACCTTCGCGGCGGTGGGGCCGCCATAGATGGTAGGTCCACGCTTTTCCTCCCCATGGGGACCCACTCCCTCTCCTCTCGAACGAAGCTACTGTGTCTTCTCCTGTCAGGCATTGACAAACCAAAACTCGGATTCTCCGCCACAAGAAAACCGTCTTCGTCTTCATCTAGCTCTAATGGAAGCACCTGCTCGCTCCCAGCCACGTCAGTATCTCCGCTGGCCACCTTTCGTGACCGGAAACTGAAAACTACATTGTGGACTTCGTACACTTTGGCCTTCCACTCGCCCACGCTTTCCGTCTTTTCTTGTCTTCTCCAATTTGTTCTGCCAACTAATTCAGCCCTCGTGACATCCATGCCAGGTCGGTAAACGCTGGTCTGAGAACAGAAGCCGGCGGCGTCAGAATCGCTCATCGGAGCACCTGCATTCTCGAAGGCATCGAAGATTTTGCGATCGTCGCGGTTAATAACCAGCAAAGAACCGCAGGGAACATCATGCGCTTGATCACCATCACCAAGGAAGAGGAAGCTCTGATCAGCACGCTGAATCTTCAAACCATCGAAGCCCGCCAACGACGTGTCGGCGCGTAAATTACCATCACGCTTCCAGATTTTGTAAGTATCAGACGGAGCGATCTTACCTACAAACGGAATCACAGAGCTCTCGAAGTGAAAAGAAATCTCCATATAGAAATCCCTCATGCGGCGCAGCACAGCAATCAAACGAGGCAGCCGCCGCCGCCACTTGGCCCAAGCGGAGCGGTGGTGAAGGCGTAGCAGGATGAGAGAAATGTCAGAGTTCCGGCGGCATAGCGCCTCCTGCAAGGCATTCCATCCAGCCGAATTCTGCAAGGAGACGTCAGCCCCAGCGGTGGCCAAAGCGCGAGCGGCGAAGGAGTCGTTGAGGCGGACAGCGAGATGGAGAGGGGTCTCTCTGAAAGGAACATCACGACGGTCGAGAACGGCAGAGATCTTGTCGGCGACTTGCTCCTGAGAGAGGGAGTCAGACTCTGTACGGACATGAGCGGGATCGGCGAGTCGAGGTAGGGAAGATATAATGCGAGAGAGGGTGGTGTGGTCGGACAAAACGACGGCGTAGTGAACCGGACTGTGGGCGTAGTGTTCGGGCTTGATGGCCGGAAAGGACGCCGTGGGGGCGGACTTGGCCATGTCCGAGAGAGAGAGAGAGATATAAGGTGGTTGGTTTTGTGAAGCAGTGGTGAGGGAGGGGTTAAGGAAGGAGGAGAAGTGGGGAGAAGGGTATTTTGGTCTGAAACTGAAAGGAAAGAGAAGAGGAAAGAGACATGGAGATGGAATTGAGGGAACGAATGAGGAGAAGAAGAGGCACGACTTTTTGTAAATGGGACTCGCTGTCCTAACGGCAAAAGCCTCTGCTCGCAGATGAGGAAGCAATAGTCGCGTCAGTTACCTTTATATGAGGTTATTTACGTCATTCCATCAAAAGTAACTGTAGTAGTCTTATTTATTTATTTTCTGGACTGAAACTGTAAGTGTTATTTTATTCAGACTTTTCCCTATTATTCTTTAAAAAACGTGATAAATTCATCGGTACAAATTTAATTGATACATAATTTTTAAAATAATTAATTGTATAAAAATATTAATTACACATAAAGAAAGATAAATTATACAAAAAAAGATAGTTTGTACAAAATATTATTTAAATATAAGAGATTAATTTATACATAGAGAAGATGATTTACATGTAAAAGTATTATATTTGCATAAAAGAAAATTGAGTTACACATCGCATAAATGAAAATTATTATATACAAAGAAAAATAAATTGCACAAGTTAAGTTACACAAACCCCATTTTCTCATTATGCTTTCTGATTTAATTAACATATATTATTATTATTTAATACAATCTTCTTCATTATTCTTTTATACAAGACAAACATTATTAACTTACACATATTAATGACATAAATTATATTTGAAAAATGTACATTACGTGGAAACTTGAATTAAGTTAAAACAAATAAATATTTTTTTAAAAAGTGTTTAATCATTAAAAGCTACTCTCCTGATTCAAAATATAAACTAAACTTTATTTATCACATTTATCAAGAAATTAATTAAAATCAATGTAAAACAATAAATATGTCAGGTATATATTTATTTTTCCTAATATACCTTTATTAATGAAGAGAATAGGTAAAAAATGTAATAAATGAATTAAAAAATAAAGAAAATGTATTGGGATAAAATTAAAAAAACTCATTAAATATTTAGACAAAAATAAATATTATCTTATAAAAAAATTCATTTTAAAAATTTACCTTATTTTTTGAGTCTGGAGATATAGAATGGAAGCACCTAGGATATATGCATCGGGAATGGTTGAACTCGGAATGCCTAATAAATTACAAGTGAAATGCAAGCCCCGAAACTAGTGACTCATTCAGGCCAAAAAATTAAAAAGGCTAGTAGTGACTTGTGTACTAGGCAAAGAGCCTAACAAAAAGAAAATGAAAAATTGAAAGGATGTAGCAGCTTGATTCTTTTTTTTTTTGAGCAAAAGTAGCAGCTTGATTCTAGTACATGGGTTTAGCACCTTTAATCGTGAAGTCTCGGGTTCAAATTTGTGAATATAAAAAATATTATCAAGAGAGCTACTCTAATTTAATCCGAGAATGCTAGAGCATAATTCACTTGAATCGTGATAATTATTTTTGAAAAGGAAAAAAAAAATTAGTGTAAGAAGATATTCTTCCCTAGATTTAGATAATGAAGATCGGGCTATGATTTTTTCTTTGGGTGGGGCCCACTAAGATAGGGTTAGGTTTACATTAAATTGTTTATCCTTTTGTCACCAAACCAATGTCAATATCTTCTCTGGATCCACTATTCCTTTCTAGTTTTCCCAGAGATCTTTATATTTGGATCAAATTTTCCAATATAATTCCTGTTATCCACAGAATTCAAAGTGGTGCCCTTAGCTCTCACAACGTGGAATGGAAATGGAATAAGCAAAGAATGTAGGGGTTGATTTTTTATTATGTTAAAATAGAGGGGTGATAATGTGATATCAGCGTTGGCGAGGAAATAACAAGGATGGAGATGTGGTCAAAAGTGGGAAAAAATCGAAAAAGAGAATGTTGATAGGTCCAACGCAGATTTGAGAGAGAGAGAGCAACAAAGAGCAGAGCAGAGAAGACGCTTTTATTTTTTATTTTTAAATTTTTAAATAATAATAATAATAACAACAATAATTATTTACACAGAGCAGAGGCTTATAACGAAGGAAGTGAAGAAACGAAGAGGGGTAAGTTGGATGTCCAAAATGGGGGCCCTCTTATACACAACAGTGGAAAACTGTTACCATTTTCACAAACAAATGATACGGGGTATACCCCATTCTTTGTCGCCACCTGCCCCCCTCCGGTTCTTCTTTTACTCATAACACATGCTTTCCAGCTTTTTTTTTTTTTATGTTAATTTAATTCCTCTGCCAAAATATCTTCGTACCCAACGTCTCTCTCATCATTCTTACACCATACTCCCTTCTATCAATTATAAATAAAAATTAATGAATTTAGCTAAAATTAGTTGTTTTTTCATAAAACATTGAAATTATTTTTGATAAAAAATTTAATTACATAAGTTTGATTAATTACTTAGAAAATTTTATTTATTCTGCCCAGATAGTTAGGATGTTTTATTTATTTATTTATTTATTTATTGTAGCACATCGGCATAAGATGGCTTCCCTGAGCACAGGGCGATCCATTCTTGAAAAGCACAGCGTGTCCTCAAGGGTTGCATGGTGGGATGACGTGGGAGGAGACTGCAAGATTGCTTTGTTTTGCTCAAAGGGTCATTCTTGTGACTTGTGAGGCGTCAAATAGAAGAGGGACACGTGGACGGGCAGATGGATTCTCTGGTTTACCCAGTGTGGCCCATCAAGGTGGTGAGTTTGCTTGCAATTGGCCCAGAAATGGGCAAATGGGTGAAAATAAGGCTCACTGGCATTACCAGTTACTTGATTCCCGGACTATTCGGTCGGCCTATGTTTGGATTCAACCAACCAGACTACAATTTTACCATTTTTCCCCCATGTACTCCAGGGTTCCAAATTCATATCATTTTCATATTATAATTAGGTGAATAAATATTTGGTCTTCATAATTTATTCTCATTTTCTTTTCGTTCCATGTTGTGTCAAGTTATAAGTTTTTATTTCTCAAATTTCATTCCCTCTAAAATATTAGTCCATATATTTTAATGAGTATCTGGACCATTTTGCCTATTGCAAAACCAAAACCTATAATTTAAACCTATACATATCAAGATCAAACTGAGGACAAACTATAATTAATCCATTTTACTTTTAATCCTCCTTATTTTTAAATTTTGACTGCATCTTGTTGGTGAGGGTATGTATAAAGAAAGGTGGAGCAAGAAATCTGCTTTCGAAGGAAGGATGAAGGAGAAAGACAAAGCAGGGAGAGTGGGGAGAAATTAAAGCGAGGGTATGCAAAATAAACAGATAGCTTTACTTGAAGAGAGCCGGTGTGAGACTGTGACTTTCTCTTCAAACTTGTTTGAATGGAATTGTATCGTTGAGGGTAAGAAAGATCCATGGAGGAGACCAAACAAATATACGTGGGACATTCCCATATTTTAACTTTTCTTTAACTTTGATCGATACTGCTTTTGAGGTACTCCCAGAAGCTTCTTTTACTCTCCTCAATCTCAGTCTCAGTCTCAATCATTCACAGTCCTTCTGAAAAAGCCTACGCACCATTCCATCCCAACATGTATGTTTAGGTCAGATAGATCCATGCCCTTGGATTATTTATACGTCAGAGAAGCCACATTATGAACTGAGAAAAAATAAATTCACCGGAGGCATAATTTCTTGACGACTTAACAGGGGGCCCATTTGTGGATATTATAACAGCTAATGTCCCCAGGTTCGGAGATATGAATCTTTTACTCTCGCTTTATGCTTTTGAGTGGAGCATTAGCTGGTATTTTAACTGATTCATACGTTTTCTAATGAATCATCTTAGTTGGAAAAAAGGGCTTGCTGAAGATTCTCTTTGATATTTGAGAGTTACTGGGCTCTGTCGCTCCATGGTAAAAACCCGTCTCCTACGCAAGCTTCTTCGTGGATGGGCTCAAAAGACCCAGAAAATGAAGCCCAACAAATGGATGGGCGAAAACTGAGGCCCAAGCCATACTGGGCTTCGGCGGGTCACGAACTCCGAATTCTTTCTGCTTTTTTGGGATAACCAAGTGATCCGTTGAATTAGCTTATACTTCTACACCAATTTTTGTACCCAAAAAAAAAAAGTTAGTCTAGTTAGTAAAAAATCAGTTTATAACCTATAGCATCGTAAGTTTGAATTTCACTGTCAATATATGAATCTTATTGATGGGCAATCTATAAATGCTTTTTATGTTTAAAAGCATATCATTGGTCCTCAACGAAACCCACTTCATTTAAATTTTTTTATTTTAAAAAAAGGTTTATGCTTCTTCATTCTCGGCTCCTGTCTCTGCTGGTCTAGTTTTTATATTTAGAATTGGAGGAGTAATTTAGTTTTGATTGTATAAAACAGGTCATTTTATCTTGTTAGAAAAAAACGTAATGAGTGTAATTTGATTCCTCTCAGAGGGGCTTTGAGGTGATTGACCCTTTTTAATTGCCAAGTGGATGATGTAGGTGAACCTTTCAACTATTTTAAGTTTGCCGCACATCACAAGACACTCAACCCGCTCTTTTGTCCGTTTAGATATCCTAAATGATCTCAAAGCAGAACACTTAAACTTCAAATATCTTGGCAACTCATCATTTGCGACGTGTAAATGGTGAGCTTTGCTATAAATCCTATACCAATCTACACGAAAACTTACAATGATACTTGCCGTTCCCGTTTTGAATAATACTGTAATTTTCAAACTATCATATCCTATATTTTTTTAGCCCTATTTATAAGACAAAAAAAGAATTTTTTTCCATATTTATGAGTCACATAATTAAATATTTTTATTTCAATGTACACTCTTGTCATCCATTTATTTTTGTGTAAACCTTTTACTTTGATAAAGTGTATATTAAATATAAATAAAGTTGAAAAGTTATTAAAATTTAAGATAGGATTATTAATATGAAAAGGGATAAAATGAAGTCCGTGTCACGTCCCAATAGCAAATGTGGGAAATATGGCATTTTCGTTGAACCCCTCAATCTAAAATCATGAAGCTAATGTGAGAGACACCAGTGAGGTGTCCATT